GTGGATCAAACACCGAGCCCGCATTCGACCAGTTCACGGTGATTTACCCACTATTTATGTTTCATTTTGGAGTTATATGCTGTGAAACTCTTTAGTACGTCACACGTGCTAATGACATTTCTATACTAACTTTTAAACTTTCGCGTTCCATGATAATTAATATTATTTAACGGGAATTAACGCGATCTCTTATTTAGGGTATTACATACCTCTGGTTTGCCTGACGTTTCGACCAGGTTGCACCGGCCGTGGTCACAGGCTGACTGGCTCATCGGCGCACGCCCTCCGTCGTCGAATCCGTGAAGTAGAAGGCTCTTCATCTACCCGCACATTTTCGATATTATTTTTGTGTCGCCATGTACCGTCACATACCACACTAACAGTGTCCCTATTCTGTAAGCAAACCGATGAGTCCCTATTCTGGTGTTTAACCGATTGCGCAGAAAAGCGAGGTGGTATGTTTTTTAACACTGGATTCCACGCTGTAGATAATTTAAAACCATCTTCCCGATTGAAAGTTTTATGCTTTTTAATCTCAAAATAATATCGAAAATGTGCGGGTAGATGAAGAGCCTTCTACTTCACGGATTCGACGACGGAGGGCGTGCGCCGATGAGCCAGTCAGCCTGTGACCACGGCCGGTGCAACCTGGTCGAAACGTCAGGCAAACCAGAGGTATGTAATACCCTAAATAAGAGATCGCGTTAATTCCCGTTAAATAATATTAATTATAATGACATTTCTATTTACTAGCACGACATGATTAAATTATTCGAAAATTGCAACAGCTAGATCTGGCAATATTACGATAGGTTTATAAATATTTGTTTTGAAGAAACAAAACTGATTAATATTAAACAACTCTATGTGTATTATACTTATATATTTCTTAGAAAATTTATCTAATGTTGTTACATTTATAAAAAATCTCTTGTCAGTAAGCGTAGTCTTCGTCGTCCAAGTTTACTTGTATTACCAAAAACACGTACAAACTACGCAAAGAAAAATATTACCTACAGAGGAGCACAACTGTATGACAATTTGCCGTCTGAAATTAAAAATGTAAGCTCGTTTAGCGTTTTTAAATCTCATCGAACAATTCATATATTAGAAAATTACTCTCAATAATTAGTTTAACCTATTATATTGGCTGGAAATAAAATCGTTGAACTTGTAACCATAACATAAGTTTTATGCAATAAATACACTGTTTCGGTGACCATTTTTTTAAAAGACAACTCCCGCATTAGGAATATATCCTGTGTCGCGGGGGACTTTACAAACATACATAAAACGGATACAAAGAACACCCAGACTCAGAACAACAATTTGTGGATCACACAAAATGTCGTCCCATGTGGGGTTTGAACCCACCACACTCAGCGCAGTAGGAAGCGGCGTGGCGACCGCTTAAACCACTACGCCATCCGTGCACTCTAAATAGAATAATAATATCACAGTATGGTATTTTATATTCTCATGTTAGTGGCTTTTTTTGCCTTTTTAGAATAAATTCGAAGGTTTTTAGTTTTAGACCCTGACTATTTAGAAGTTTTATTTCGATAATCGTTGATGCAAAGAACTTTATGAATGCCATGTTTCTTTCCATAGTGAGATTGTTGCTGGTTCATTGTTGCCTTGACTCATAAGAAGTGAAGCTCGTGACTCATTCTGCAAACATTTTGAACTTCTGCACGTGGAATTACTTTGTTTTCAAGATTTAATGAGAGGTTTGTTGTTTACGAGTTCATAAGAGCAGACAGCTTCAGATAAACACATTTGAAGAATGGTTTGACAGAAATAAGTGTTGAGTTTGAGTACTATAATCTTAAACTTACACTATTTATAATTAGTGCCACCGTGTAATTTAAGTAAGCTACAGTTTTTGTAGGGTGAAACAGTAGAAGAGTAGAAAGTGCGTATCAAAAAAAACGGATTTACAAGGTAAACTTACGAGATTACCATTTGGAGCACGTTTTCAAATCCTGTGACGACTTTACTTATTCAGCACAAAAAATACCTAACGATGTTACATATATTTCATCATAACTCTTTATTGAAAAAAGGTAGATTAAATGGGATTAATGCGGTGTTTAAAAATGTGTAACAAAAGTTATTTACAACATTGCTTACAAACACATCCCTTTTTGTTACGACTAAGGGGGCAAACTACTCAGCACAACAGATCTGCAAAGAGAAGGAAAACTTGAAACAACCTGTATCCCCACCCTTCCGGTTAGCGTGGTATAGTAGGCCAAAACCTCCTTGCAAAGGAAAGGCCTATGTCCAGCAGTGGACTAGTAAAGGCTGTTGATGGATAGGCTCAGGTAACTTTACTCACTCGTTGAAAATTAATGAAAGAATTACCTAACACCGGTTTTCTGTTAGCCCGGGGTACGTTCTTATTCACGAAATCTCTACCACAGATTGAAGAAAAGCGAGCAGGAAATATGTTACTGGGTGAATATTTCATTTCGTGCATTTTTTAAGTTTTGAAGAAAAATTTGCTCCAAATCATGTTCTTTATGTATTTTTGTTAAAGTATTTAATAATTACAACTGAATTATGTGAAAGGGATAGTAATTACTCTTATATCTTTTGAGATCTTGACGTTTGTTTTTTTGCGAGAGCGGTAATGAGATTTTTTTGAGGTGATTGATGATTTAAGATATGGTAGTGAGGTAAACTAAAATACAATGGCCAAAGAAAGCCCTTTTTAAGTCTATACTAATCATTAAGAACTGCTACATTGTCCCTGAGGCCTACAAAGGCCAAGAATTTTTTAAAAATAAATGTCCACCCGTGCGAAGCAGGTACGAGCCGCTACTCAGGAATAAAATAAATGTTTGACAAATCAATTTGATTAAATTTATTGAAATTATCCCTCCACTTTTCTCGTTGTTGTCTTTTGCTTCTTGGAGTCATATCATTTTTAGACAGAAAAATTTTTTGGTGTTCTTTTTCCTTCTGCAAAGCGTAAAGAGCGGGATCTGATTTAATATTTTCATATCTTCTTCTTCTTCGAGCTAATTTGGCCATTTCTAGTTTTTTTATCCTCCTCTACAAGTCACTATAAGTTCATACAAAATTAATATTATCTTTAGATCACACGAAAAAGAAAACCTAGAGAAAAAATACTAGAAATGGCCAAATTAGACTTTTTCTAATAAATAGTTCTATTTTTGAATGAATAGTTGTTAAGTTTATCAGGGTATAGAAAGACCTTTTTTGAATATATAATTAACCAAATAATTATCTAAAAATTATGATTCTGTATATATATATACATCTATGTAGAAATATTCTGAACCACTTCACTTTCCAAACAGGAGAACTTTAAATTACATTGTCACAATTGCCATTCGGATCAGAAGTGCAGCCGCGATTGTCGCCGAATATTTAATGTACATTCTAGTGCTCAGTGGCGCGTAAATATCGGATCGAGAATATGGTCGAAAGGTAATTATGGGTGAGTCATTTTTCGTCGTCAAGTCGTCTGGAACTAGTTAAATTTGTTTTTTCCTAAATAAAATCTCATATATTCTATAGATTAATTAATCTATTAACGGAAAACGTATATAATAAATCGTTCTTCCAACAGGATTTTTACTAAGATGTACTAATTTATTAAAATCTGGGAAAAGGGACAAGGATGGTAATTAGATTTATGGTTTGATTTTCAAAATTTGGTACGTTTCTAATAATAAACAAGATGTTTTAAAAGATGCGCCTTATACAATACTAAGTTAACTAAACAAAACGAATTTCAGTTAAAGATTCTTTCAACGTTTAATGTATTCTTTATCGTCCGCCGTGCAATGTGCACGAAATGAAATATTCACCCTACCGTGATGGCATGCAACTTAAATATCAGTAAGTCATAAATTCATTTATGAGGAACAGAAGATAAAAGTTATAGTTAATAAGCCCATCAAATCACAAGCTTTCTCCCCTGAGAGAGACATCTCGCGCATGTTTTCCGTGCTTAATACACTTGTGTTCTGTCCCTGAGGCACGGAGTAGCTTCCACTGTAGATTATTATTATTATTGGGTTAATAGTTTGCACGAGTTTGAGACAACGTACTTACATATGCAAATGTCGGCAACGCAAATAGTTACTTCCGAACTATTTTGAGGTTCCAAAGACAGAGATAGAGTGACACCAACGTGAAGTTTGGTTAACTTTTAATATGATGTACTTATCATATTAAAAGTGAACCAAACTTCATACCACCACTAATATCATTACCACCATATATCATTTTGACTACAGCGATGATGATGATTTCTTCTTAATATTGAAACTTATCTCACGTATGTAGTGCCTTGATTACTATCGGCTTAAGGCAAAGTGTAAAGTAGAATGAACATCACCGCGTGAGTGAGCTAAGCGGAGGCCTAAACTCCTTCCCCAGCTCCATAATGGAGGGAAGGGCATATATAAAAAGAAGATACGTCGTTTAGCGGGTTATCGTTGTAACAAGGTGGTGTATTTCTTACCGTCATCAAATTCATGTTCCACTATCGGCTCCTAGTCGGCACAGCCAGTGGAAACGTTTATTACTGACCCGGCGGTAAGAGCGACAGTCTTTGGGAATGTAATCGAATAAAGTAGATAAACTGGGTAAATAAAACAGACTGTGGGAAGGAGCTACTGAACACGATAAGTAAGTTTCGGCCTGGAAACTGGACTAACACTGCAGTAACTCCAAAAAAAAACCGGCGTGGCTCAATTGTGTGTACCTCGATATTACCTAAACTTATCCAAGTAAGGAAACAAGTTCCAAGGTTTATAATACCAAGTACTGTAAAAACTATGCTGTTTAATTAATAGCTAGCAAATATTTCGCAAAAAGTAATAATACTATATAGTATATCTATATATATATAGTAATACTAAAGACAATCGAGTAATAAATAGTACATAGACGGATCTACGAGGTGCATAATAGATACTCTTTGTTGTTCACCTTGTTGTAAGTCCAAACAAATCATTTCTCTAATAAAAAAAGTTACAAAATGACAGCGAGCCATGGACGTCACCGTACATCTGACAGCTGGTATCATCCGTTCGCCATGAAAGTGCCGTGCCACAGGTAATATTCAAGGCACGCCGCCGGGCATGAGGCGGCGCTGCGATCCACCACCGGACACTACAGGCGCCGTGGTGCGCGTGCTCGTGGTGTACGCGAGCGTACTCATCGTGCACGCGCTGCTGTACTGGGGCCGTCGCTTCCTTCGGGAGCGCGACCAGCACCGGATGCACACCCATGGCCAAGGACCGCACGATTCCGGGTCATAAGTTCACAGAGAACCTACTCTACAATGCAACCACACTGGTCTTCCTCTACATGCTCATGCTGACTCTGTTTGAAATGATAGAAATATTGCGCCCGAAACCACCCAGAGCCCTGACGCTGGTACCCAAAAGGGACTTAGCGATTGCGCCTGACGGGTCGCATATAGCAATAATACAAAGATCCACCTTCTGCAAGTGTACTCTATGTTGTAATTGTCGCCCTAGGAGGCAAAGAAGACGGAATGTCTATCGGAAGAAGCATCGGAGACGAGATGTCACTTAGAAAGCACATAGTAATAACCTCAGTGTACATAACGTTTTTATTTAAACAAACATTATATGGCCAGGAATCATTCCATACATTTCCATAAAGTACCGTACTGATGTTATTACGTCATTTCATTTAACCTAAACTAATAGATAAACGTAAGTACCTAAAACACCTTACTAATTTCTTTTCTGCCGTCATCTCTTTATTTCAATATATTCAATAGTACAATATCGAATAGTACTTTTGTGTCTCTTTAAAAGTGAAATTAATCTGCCTTAGTTTCGCAATTACCTGCTTATAACTGTAATAGCCTTCTTGATCAATGTGCTGACGAATTAAGAATACGGAGTTTCACAACCCCTATTCATCCCGTTTGTATTGTAAGAGCCGACTAAGGGAGCAAACAGTAACAGTACTGCACAGAGAAGAAAAAATTGACTAAAACCCTATACCAACCCGTCTGTATAGTAGGCCAAAACGTCCAGCAGTGAACTATTAGTATATTCTGTTTATGATGAACCCTTTTTTGATCCTTCTTTTGTTGACGGGTTGGAAAGTCCCTACGTATCACCGGCTCTTTGGGGACTTAACAGCCAAGAGTAGGTATGTGGTGTTTCCACTAAACCGCCCTACTCTGACGAGGAAACAGTTTTGTTCCTATAATCTATTTTAAGACAAATAGGATGCAAACATGCAGAAGTATTAAAATAATTTAAGTAATATCAAAAAATATTGCAATTTCATATTTTCGCTTTTAAATTAAATAACGATACTTTGAAGTGAAATATTGTTCTTGGGTCCAAGAATCGCAGTCCGCCTGCCAACAACGTATGGAGCATGTTGTTATCAGTTAGCGAATTAAGAGTACCTACCGTACAATAATCTTAACAATAAATAGACCTTTATTAAACTTCAGCGTCATACAGCTAAGGAACTCAAGCTCGAACTAAAGATGTTAAAAAGAATTTTGGCGATGGAATGCCATCTAGTAACAATGGCGAAAAGTACTAGGTACAGCTAACGTGTATGTGCCTTACGAGAGCCCTCTATTCGTCCTTACCGAAACTACAAAGTGACCACGGCTACCGCGCACAACCCTCCTTTGCTTTGGGTTTCAGCCAGTAATCAGTATCACTATAGTTTTGAAGAGGCTCAGAACAGAGTACCGTTATAGGCTGACACCTTCGAATGTAGTATTTTTATGGACGTATGCAAATGTATAGGTGTGATCATATTTTAGGGGCTCCATGAATAATGTAAAGCGCTGACAGGTTGAGGGAATTTGGCGAATTTTATTGCAGAAACTTTATTTTCTACTATGAGGGACTTATTTCGGTGAATAAATGAGTAAATGAGAAAATTTGTGCAAATTACCTAATGAGCTTTTACTAAACTTGTTGACTCCTTATAAACTGTGCTTATATGAAACTTTACTCTGAAAGGCCTTTCACAAATAGGAGTTTATTTGCGACCATTTTTTTGCAGAGGTAGTTTATCGTTTACAGAAAAAAATAGCTTAAATTCGTTATTTAAAAAAGGGTGGCGGCAGTGAGTTTGTTTGCCATTTCTTCTTCTAATAAGGTTCAACCCCTTGGAAACGGGCTGTTGTAAATCGGCAACGGAATATAACGATTTTCGATACCTATATATTTATTTTGCTAAATATTTGATGGAACAGAGATTATTAGTCGCTAATGTCTATTGTGTTGATCTGTTACTTTCAAGTCTACAAAAGAGACGATTTCAATCAAATTTTATAAGGAATAAAGATTTTTTTTGAGTTTCAGTTTGAATATATTTCATGAACGCATAAATGTAGCAAAACATTACCTGCTTACACCTGGCTGCGAAGAGTTTGCGGACAAGTGCTAATAGCCACTATTACTTTTTAAGTTCTCTACCTAGTTCTCTTTTTCGTCTATGAAGTGCAGTTTATTTACTTCCAAAAGTCAATTAATATTAATTAAAAGTACCAGCAGGGACATTTTAACAAGCAACCCGGCCAAAACATATTCTCTATTTTATAACTGAGTTAAAAAAATTGATTTTGATTGTACGTATACTCGATGAACTTCGAAAATCTTAGGCGGGATCTCTTACTATTAAAATTATAAAATTTACCTGAATGTTAAACAGTGGATATTTCTATACTATTTTATTGCTGGAATATTATCTCATCGTTCTTTGTTCTTCTTTTGAACTATCTATGAGTTGAACTATCTATACTTGCCGTTTGGTTCCTATAAAATTAAAAAAAAAAATAACCCCTAAGGGTGAAAATGGAATGAAGAACACAGTTTATTACAATTAACATGATGCACGCATTTTGAAGTTAATTATTATTGGGTATAAACGGGGTGATTCGAAATAAGAAGTAAAAATACAAAAAAATAGATAATATTTAATGAATCTGTTATTCCATATATCGTATATACATATAACGTGCGCGGTCGCGTCCACGTCCTCACACACGTATTGTACAACATTTGCATTATTCAAGTGTTCGGCGAGGAATGTTCACGCGCACAGCGGCTCGCGGGGACAGCGGGGAGGGGTGGAGGAAGGGGGGGGGGGCGCCTCGCCCTCTGCGCCCGGTATGGCACATCGTACACAAGTGATAATAACGTCAATTAGTACAGTCTACATAGAGTTCACTATTAATGCTAGTGCTCGCTGGCGATCAGAGAAACATTATAACATTGTATGTTCCTCACGTTGATATGTTTAATTTGTATATAGTAATAGGTTAAAGCCAAGATGGAAAGATAAAAAACGTGTCCATTTTATATTGATATCACTAAAGCTCATATTGAAGAAAGATGGTTAGTAAATATGAGAAAAAATGGGTCTTAGCTGTTTAAAGACAGAAAAGGTAGTTAAAAGATTCGTGGCTTAAAATAAATTATATCAGGTTTTATGAAAATGTCTTTTCAAGACTGTATAGGCTTTTTTTTTTTGAGAAATAATATAAGCTATATCCATACTCCTCAGTCCAGGGGCACATTGCACGAATCACAAAATTACAGGACACATACATACATTGTTTGTTGTATTAAATAAAATAAATATAATGTATTAAGTCCAAAATTAACTGCATATATATAATAAGAATTTAATAAACTCCGGAACGTTGTACAAATGCGCTAATTTTCGTTCCTTAAAGGACAGATTAATACCAATTTACTAAAGAGTAAATTGGTATTTAAGGATAGAATCAAGCTGGCTCTTCTCTACTTATCCCGAAAGGAGAAAGGTGTGTGTTTATGTATGATTCTATGCTTCAAGAACATAATAAATTAAGTAGTACACAAGATATAGATACCTACATTACGAGGTAAATAGTAAGTATAAAATAAATAAGTACTACAATTGACAAATAATGTATAGTGTTATTTATCAGAAACACGTGAAATGGTCTGAAATAACTACAAAAGATAACAGTCGACCAATAACATCACAAGTACCTCGACACCGAGTGTCTGGTGGGTACTGAACAACTTAAGATTAATTTGTAATAACAAAAGAAAATAAGTTCTGTTTAACACACAGATGAAGTCCGCCGCCCGCCCGCGAGCCGCCGCCCACTTCAACGTTCACTTACGAGACACCACTTATAAGTAACAAACAAATTGAGCCACATCGACGACATGTCTATTAAAATTAAGTACAATTTTGAGATTCAACTGTGATGTATACTTACAGTTAAGATGTAAAACGACAAATATATATGTATATATAAAAGTTTTAACATGGATATCAAAATACGTTCACATATATTATGTATAACGCACACCGCGGCTCGTGGCCGGGCGATGGTCGCCACTCGCTCTGCTCCATTGTAAAAAAATAACAAACGATCTCTACATTAAGCTTAGTCTATATACAATTCAACGATTGGTCCATTTAGTTAATGTACATGTGTATAAAAATATTTAAGTAAAAAATCTTAAAACTATACTGTATACGTAGCGATTTCATCGAGTAAAATATAAATTAAGTACACGTAACGTCGATCGTTGCGCACGGGGGGGTGTGACGTCACGTCACATGCCCGACTCCGCGATGCCCTCGTCATCTGCAACACAGAGCACATGAGCTAAGTACCTGGGGGAGGGACGAGAGGAGGTGGAGGGGTCAGGCTCGCATGCAGCACGGACCGAAGGGCACACGCACGCAGCAGAGGACAGTACACACACAGCAGTTAGTACAGTGGACCAGACTATGAGTAAAGCGGACGACATGCGGTGTGGGGAGAGGGGCGAAAAGCCTCACGCGCGAGTGGCACCACAGCTCGGCTGCGCCACCTACCGTTCACTCAACAACGTTATCTAACTCATGGTCCCAGGGGCACAGGGCTTCACACCTCTGTCATTCGTCACAGTATGTTCTTACAGAGTTCATGTTCTTGAATAAGTGTCACTAATTGCTGTACTGCAACAAAACAACTACGTAACGCAGCTACCACTGATGATACACCGCCATCTCGAAACATACTACCATCGACGTGGCAACAGTCACCACCAATTAGATACTACAATCACATAACATTTCTTTAAATGGCCATGGATTTTGATCTAAGACCCTCATATTTTTGCCCAGAGCCTCGAGACTTTTGATGCTATTCACTTATTGGACAAATATATATCGTAAAACTAGTTGTGGGTAAGTCATTTAAGTTATTTAGGTATGTCATTGATTGAAACTAAGTTAAAATAAAAGGCGACATAAATGATAAGTTCGTAAGAGCGTACCTTCGAAGGCGGCATTGAGGTGGTGGTTGTGGTTGTTGTGGGGGGGCGCGGCGAGGTCCTGCCCCTCGAGCACGGCCACGAGGCACTGGTGGATGCAGATGTACTGCTGCTCCGTCTGCACCATCCACACGCGCTCGCGACGCATGGCGTGCACCATGCCGAAGATGTCCACGTACTCCGCGTGGCTAGCCAGCTGCACACGTTTAACATTCTCGTTGGTCAAGGATTCATCAATAATGAAACGAAATTCCTGCATCTCAAATCGAAGTCGGCTATTACAAGCACATAATAGGTATGTGTAAAGATTTTTTCAAGCCCTATTTAAGTAACTTATGTAAGCAGACGGAGGAATGAGAAATTACATAAAAAAATAAATTCAGATCATAGATTGTTTGAGGTGGGGGGGGGACCAATGACAGAAGCTTACCTGCAGCGCGGTGTCGAGCGTGATGAAGGTGCCGGAGCGGCCCACGCCGGCGCTGCAGTGCACGAGCTGGGCGCTATAGAGAGTTGGGGGGGGAGGGGACCAATGACAGAAGCTTACCTGCTGCAGCGCGGTGTCGAGCGTGATGAAGGTGCCGGAGCGGCCCACGCCGGCGCTGCAGTGCACGAGCTGGGCGCTATAGAGAGTTGGGGGGGGGGGGGGACCAATGACAGAAGCTTACCTGCTGCAGCGCGGTGTCGAGCGTGATGAAGGTGCCGGAGCGGCCCACGCCGGCGCTGCAGTGCACGAGCTGGGCGCTATAGAGAGTTGGGGGGGGAGGGGACCAATGACAGAAGCTTACCTGCTGCAGCGTGGTGTCGAGCGTGATGAAGGTGCCGGAGCGGCCCACGCCGGCGCTGCAGTGCACGAGCTGGGCGCTATAGAGAGTTGGGGGGGGGGGGGGACCAATGACAGAAGCTTACCTGCTGCAGCGCGGTGTCGAGCGTGATGAAGGTGCCGGAGCGGCCCACGCCGGCGCTGCAGTGCACGAGCTGGGCGCTATAGAGAGTTGGGGGGGGAGGGGACCAATGACAGAAGCTTACCTGCTGCAGCGCGGTGTCGAGCGTGATGAAGGTGCCGGAGCGGCCCACGCCGGCGCTGCAGTGCACGAGCTGGGCGCTATAGAGAGTTGGGGGGGGAGGGGACCAATGACAGAAGCTTACCTGCTGCAGCGCGGTGTCGAGCGTGATGAAGGGGCCGGAGCGGCCCACGCCGGCGCTGCAGTGCACGAGCTGGGCGCTATAGAGAGTTGGGGGGGGGAGGGGACCAATGACAGAAGCTTACCTGCTGCAGCGCGGTGTCGAGCGTGATGAAGGTGCCGGAGCGGCCCACGCCGGCGCTGCAGTGCACGAGCTGGGCGCTATAGAGAGTTGGGGGGGGAGGGGACCAATGACAGAAGCTTACCTGCTGCAGCGCGGTGTCGAGCGTGATGAAGGTGCCGGAGCGGCCCACGCCGGCGCTGCAGTGCACGAGCTGGGCGCTATAGAGAGTTGGGGGGGGAGGGGACCAATGACAGAAGCTTACCTGCTGCAGCGCGGTGTCGAGCGTGATGAAGGTGCCGGAGCGGCCCACGCCGGCGCTGCAGTGCACGAGCTGGGCGCTATAGAGAGTTGGGGGGGGGAGGGGACCAATGACAGAAGCTTACCTGCTGCAGCGCGGTGTCGAGCGTGATGAAGGTGCCGGAGCGGCCCACGCCGGCGCTGCAGTGCACGAGCTGGGCGCTATAGAGAGTTGGGGGGGGAGGGGACCAATGACAGAAGCTTACCTGCTGCAGCGCGGTGTCGAGCGTGATGAAGGTGCCGGAGCGGCCCACGCCGGCGCTGCAGTGCACGAGCTGGGCGCTATAGAGAGTTGGGGGGGGGAGGGGACCAATGACAGAAGCTTACCTGCTGCAGCGCGGTGTCGAGCGTGATGAAGGTGCCGGAGCGGCCCACGCCGGCGCTGCAGTGCACGAGCTGGGCGCTATAGAGAGTTGGGGGGGGAGGGGACCAATGACAGAAGCTTACCTGCTGCAGCGCGGTGTCGAGCGTGATGAAGGTGCCGGAGCGGCCCACGCCGGCGCTGCAGTGCACGAGCTGGGCGCTATAGAGAGTTGGGGGGGGAGGGGACCAATGACAGAAGCTTACCTGCTGCAGCGCGGTGTCGAGCGTGATGAAGGTGCCGGAGCGGCCCACGCCGGCGCTGCAGTGCACGAGCTGGGCGCTATAGAGAGTTGGGGGGGGAGGGGACCAATGACAGAAGCTTACCTGCTGCAGCGCGGTGTCGAGCGTGATGAAGGTGCCGGAGCGGCCCACGCCGGCGCTGCAGTGCACGAGCTGGGCGCTATAGAGAGTTGGGGGGGGAGGGGACCAATGACAGAAGCTTACCTGCTGCAGCGCGGTGTCGAGCGTGATGAAGGTGCCGGAGCGGCCCACGCCGGCGCTGCAGTGCACGAGCTGGGCGCTATAGAGAGTTGGGGGGGGAGGGGACCAATGACAGAAGCTTACCTGCTGCAGCGCGGTGTCGAGCGTGATGAAGGTGCCGGAGCGGCCCACGCCGGCGCTGCAGTGCACGAGCTGGGCGCTATAGAGAGTTGGGGGGGGAGGGGACCAATGACAGAAGCTTACCTGCTGCAGCGCGGTGTCGAGCGTGATGAAGGTGCCGGAGCGGCCCACGCCGGCGCTGCAGTGCACGAGCTGGGCGCTATAGAGAGTTGGGGGGGGGAGGGGACCAATGACAGAAGCTTACCTGCTGCAGCGCGGTGTCGAGCGTGATGAAGGTGCCGGAGCGGCCCACGCCGGCGCTGCAGTGCACGAGCTGGGCGCTATAGAGAGTTGGGGGGGGGGGGGGACCAATGACAGAAGCTTACCTGCTGCAGCGCGGTGTCGAGCGTGATGAAGGTGCCGGAGCGGCCCACGCCGGCGCTGCAGTGCACGAGCTGGGCGCTATAGAGAGTTGGGGGGGGAGGGGACCAATGACAGAAGCTTACCTGCTGCAGCGCGGTGTCGAGCGTGATGAAGGTGCCGGAGCGGCCCACGCCGGCGCTGCAGTGCACGAGCTGGGCGCTATAGAGAGTTGGGGGGGGAGGGGACCAATGACAGAAGCTTACCTGCTGCAGCGCGGTGTCGAGCGTGATGAAGGTGCCGGAGCGGCCCACGCCGGCGCTGCAGTGCACGAGCTGGGCGCTATAGAGAGTTGGGGGGGGAGGGGACCAATGACAGAAGCTTACCTGCTGCAGCGCGGTGTCGAGCGTGATGAAGGTGCCGGAGCGGCCCACGCCGGCGCTGCAGTGCACGAGCTGGGCGCTATAGAGAGTTGGGGGGGGGGGGGACCAATGACAGAAGCTTACCTGCTGCAGCGCGGTGTCGAGCGTGATGAAGGTGCCGGAGCGGCCCACGCCGGCGCTGCAGTGCACGAGCTGGGCGCTATAGAGAGTTGGGGGGGGGAGGGGACCAATGACAGAAGCTTACCTGCTGCAGCGCGGTGTCGAGCGTGATGAAGGTGCCGGAGCGGCCCACGCCGGCGCTGCAGTGCACGAGCTGGGCGCTATAGAGAGTTGGGGGGGGGGAGGGGACCAATGACAGAAGCTTACCTGCTGCAGCGCGGTGTCGAGCGTGATGAAGGTGCCGGAGCGGCCCACGCCGGCGCTGCAGTGCACGAGCTGGGCGCTATAGAGAGTTGGGGGGGGGGGGGACCAATGACAGAAGCTTACCTGCTGCAGCGCGGTGTCGAGCGTGATGAAGGTGCCGGAGCGGCCCACGCCGGCGCTGCAGTGCACGAGCTGGGCGCTATAGAGAGTTGGGGGGGGAGGGGACCAATGACAGAAGCTTACCTGCTGCAGCGCGGTGTCGAGCGTGATGAAGGTGCCGGAGCGGCCCACGCCGGCGCTGCAGTGCACGAGCTGGGCGCTATAGAGAGTTGGGGGGGGGGGGGGGACCAATGACAGAAGCTTACCTGCTGCAGCGCGGTGTCGAGCGTGATGAAGGTGCCGGAGCGGCCCACGCCGGCGCTGCAGTGCACGAGCTGGGCGCTATAGAGAGTTGGGGGGGGGAGGGGACCAATGACAGAAGCTTACCTGCTGCAGCGCGGTGTCGAGCGTGATGAAGGTGCCGGAGCGGCCCACGCCGGCGCTGCAGTGCACGAGCTGGGCGCTATAGAGAGTTGGGGGGGGAGGGGACCAATGACAGAAGCTTACCTGCTGCAGCGCGGTGTCGAGCGGGATGAAGGTGCCGGAGCGGCCCACGCCGGCGCTGCAGTGCACGAGCTGGGCGCTATAGAGAGTTGGGGGGGGGAGGGGACCAATGACAGAAGCTTACCTGCTGCAGCGCGGTGTCGAGCGTGATGAAGGTGCCGGAGCGGCCCACGCCGGCGCTGCAGTGCACGAGCTGGGCGCTATAGAGAGTTGGGGGGGGAGGGGACCAATGACAGAAGCTTACCTGCTGCAGCGCGGTGTCGAGCGTGATGAAGGTGCCGGAGCGGCCCACGCCGGCGCTGCAGTGCACGAGCTGGGCGCTATAGAGAGTTGGGGGGGGAGGGGACCAATGACAGAAGCTTACCTGCTGCAGCGCGGTGTCGAGCGTGATGAAGGTGCCGGAGCGGCCCACGCCGGCGCTGCAGTGCACGAGCTGGGCGCTATAGAGAGTTGGGGGGGGAGGGGACCAATGACAGAAGCTTACCTGCTGCAGCGCGGTGTCGAGCGTGATGAAGGTGCCGGAGCGGCCCACGCCGGCGCTGCAGTGCACGAGCTGGGCGCTATAGAGAGTTGGGGGGGGAGGGGACCAATGACAGAAGCTTACCTGCTGCAGCGCGGTGTCGAGCGTGATGAAGGTGCCGGAGCGGCCCACGCCGGCGCTGCAGTGCACGAGCTGGGCGCTATAGAGAGTTGGGGGGGGAGGGGACCAATGACAGAAGCTTACCTGCTGCAGCGCGGTGTCGAGCGTGATGAAGGTGCCGGAGCGGCCCACGCCGGCGCTGCAGTGCACGAGCTGGGCGCTATAGAGAGTTGGGGGGGGAGGGGACCAATGACAGAAGCTTACCTGCTGCAGCGCGGTGTCGAGCGTGATGAAGGTGCCGGAGCGGCCCACGCCGGCGCTGCAGTGCACGAGCTGGGCGCTATAGAGAGTTGGGGGGGGAGGGGACCAATGACAGAAGCTTACCTGCTGCAGCGCGGTGTCGAGCGTGATGAAGGTGCCGGAGCGGCCCACGCCGGCGCTGCAGTGCACGAGCTGGGCGCTATAGAGAGTTGGGGGGGGAGGGGACCAATGACAGAAGCTTACCTGCTGCAGCGCGGTGTCGAGCGTGATGAAGGTGCCGGAGCGGCCCACGCCGGCGCTGCAGTGCACGAGCTGGGCGCTATAGAGAGTTGGGGGGGGAGGGGACCAATGACAGAAGCTTACCTGCTGCAGCGCGGTGTCGAGCGTGATGAAGGTGCCGGAGCGGCCCACGCCGGCGCTGCAGTGCACGAGCTGGGCGCTATAGAGAGTTGGGGGGGGAGGGGACCAATGACAGAAGCTTACCTGCTGCAGCGCGGTGTCGAGCGTGATGAAGGTGCCGGAGCGGCCCACGCCGGCGCTGCAGTGCACGAGCTGGGCGCTATAGAGAGTTGGGGGGGGAGGGGACCAATGACAGAAGCTTACCTGCTGCAGCGCGGTGTCGAGCGTGATGAAGGTGCCGGAGCGGCCCACGCCGGCGCTGCAGTGCACGAGCTGGGCGCTATAGAGAGTTGGGGGGGGAGGGGACCAATGACAGAAGCTTACCTGCTGCAGCGCGGTGTCGAGCGTGATGAAGGTGCCGGAGCGGCCCACGCCGGCGCTGCAGTGCACGAGCTGGGCGCTATAGAGAGTTGGGGGGGGAGGGGACCAATGACAGAAGCTTACCTGCTGCAGCGCGGTGTCGAGCGTGATGAAGGTGCCGGAGCGGCCCACGCCGGCGCTGCAGTGCACGAGCTGGGCGCTATAGAGAGTTGGGGGGGGGAGGGGACCAATGACAGAAGCTTACCTGCTGCAGCGCGGTGTCGAGCGTGATGAAGGTGCCGGAGCGGCCCACGCCGGCGCTGCAGTGCACGAGCTGGGCGCTATAGAGAGTTGGGGGGGGAGGGGACCAATGACAGAAGCTTACCTGCTGCAGCGCGGTGTCGAGCGTGATGAAGGTGCCGGAGCGGCCCACGCCGGCGCTGCAGTGCACGAGCTGGGCGCTATAGAGAGTTGGGGGGGGGAGGGGACCAATGACAGAAGCTTACCTGCTGCAGCGCGGTGTCGAGCGTGATGAAGGTGCCGGAGCGGCCCACGCCGGCGCTGCAGTGCACGAGCTGGGCGCTATAGAGAGTTGGGGGGGGAGGGGACCAATGACAGAAGCTTACCTGCTGCAGCGCGGTGTCGAGCGTGATGAAGGTGCCGGAGCGGCCCACGCCGGCGCTGCAGTGCACGAGCTGGGCGCTATAGAGAGTTGGGGGGGGGGGGGACCAATGACAGAAGCTTACCTGCTGCAGCGCGGTGTCGAGCGTGATGAAGGTGCCGGAGCGGCCCACGCCGGCGCTGCAGTGCACGAGCTGGGCGCTATAGAGAGTTGGGGGGGGAGGGGACCAATGACAGAAGCTTACCTGCTGCAGCGCGGTGTCGAGCGTGATGAAGGTGCCGGAGCGGCCCACGCCGGCGCTGCAGTGCACGAGCTGGGCGCTATAGAGAGTTGGGGGGGGGAGGGGACCAATGACAGAAGCTTACCTGCTGCAGCGCGGTGTCGAGCGTGATGAAGGTGCCGGAGCGGCCCACGCCGGCGCTGCAGTGCACGAGCTGGGCGCTATAGAGAGTTGGGGGGGGAGGGGACCAATGACAGAAGCTTACCTGCTGCAGCGCGGTGTCGAGCGTGATGAAGGTGCCGGAGCGGCCCACGCCGGCGCTGCAGTGCACGAGCTGGGCGCTATAGAGAGTTGGGGGGGGAGGGGACCAATGACAGAAGCTTACCTGCTGCAGCGCGGTGTCGAGCGTGATGAAGGTGCCGGAGCGGCCCACGCCGGCGCTGCAGTGCACGAGCTGGGCGCTATAGAGAGTTGGGGGGGGAGGGGGCCAATGACAGAAGCTTACCTGCTGCAGCGCGGTGTCGAGCGTGATGAAGGTGCCGGAGCGGCCCACGCCGGCGCTGCAGTGCACGAGCTGGGCGCTATAGAGAGTTGGGGGGGGGAGGGGACCAATGACAGAAGCTTACCTGCTGCAGCGCGGTGTCGAGCGTGATGAAGGTGCCGGAGCGGCCCACGCCGGCGCTGCAGTGCACGAGCTGGGCGCTATAGAGAGTTGGGGGGGGGGGGGGACCAATGACAGAAGCTTACCTGCTGCAGCGCGGTGTCGAGCGTGATGAAGGTGCCGGAGCGGCCCACGCCGGCGCTGCAGTGCACGAGCTGGGCGCTATAGAGAGTTGGGGGGGGAGGGGACCAATGACAGAAGCTTACCTGCTGCAGCGCGGTGTCGAGCGTGATGAAGGTGCCGGAGCGGCCCACGCCGGCGCTGCAGTGCACGACGACGGGGCGCGCGTCGGGCGGGCAGCGCTCGCGGAAGGCGCGCACGAAGCGCGCCAGCGTGGTGGGCGGGTCGGGCACGCCGAAGTCGGGCCACGTGGTGAAGTGGAAGTGCTTGAGCACGCGCTGCTCGGCGCCGCGGCACAGCATGAGCTCGGTCACGGTCCAGTCGGGGTAGTGGCTCTCGTTGAGCGAGGTGACGGCGATGTCGCCGTAGTACACGGGCCGGGTGTCGTAGGGCCAGTAGCGGTCGCACTTCTCGCGCCCCTTCTCCACGCAGCGGGTCAGCATCACGATGGCCCTGGAGCCTGACTCCCAGCACATGCGCCAGAAGTCGTCGCGCGTGCAGTGCAGCGGACCCTGCCGACAGAAACCACCTCTATATTGCAAAACTAATTACTGCTACAACTACATTAAGAGACGATGTAAATATGATTAAAAAAATAATGCAATGATGATATTTTAACTTTGATTCGCTAAAGTGATCTCGTCGGTCGTAGTGCTACACCGGCAGCGTAGATACCGACCTGCGTGACGATGAACTCGCGGGGCGAATTATGGCCGGGCACGTAGTTGGCGTTGATATAGTCGGAGCCCTCCTCGTCGTCGACGGGCTGCAGCTTGTAGCGCGAGTGGTCGTAGGGCAGGATGTTGGTGAAGCGGTTCTTTGGGCGGTTGACGGGCAGGTCGGCGGCCGTGCAGGGCTGCTCGCGGCCCACGTGCTTGAGCTCCTCGAACTCCTCGCTGAAGCGGAAGTCGGAGTCGGCGGCCATGAGGCGGTAGTGGTCGATGAAGTCGCTGACGCGCACGGGGCGGCACGAGCGCGCGGCGGGCGGCGCCTGCGCGGCGGGCGCGGCTCGGCCCCGACGGCGGCGCGCCCCGGCCAGCGCCGCGCCCGCGCCCGCCAGCAGCGCGCATCCCACGCACGCGCCTATGATCCACGCCGTGTTGTCCACCTCTGGTCGAATCGGTACGTATTAGCACTTCGCCTACTCACGCTATATATGATAACTTTCAGATCACATAACTAATTTTTTTTCTAAATTATCTGTTTCATTAAATTAAATATCTCTGTTGGTTTAGTCAAAATCTGACCGCTCTCGCCTCTGACAAAATTTTTAAAATTTATTTTAAATGATCTGCACTGTTATCGTATACAAACTTGATCTAAATGTTGTATTAACTTAGGAAACTATTAGGTCCATAAGTACATACAAATATGTTTAATCTTAACATGTATATGACTGTTTCGATCAAATAAAATAACTTTTGACGTAGTATTTTCAAGTACGATTTACAGAAACTTTTTGTTAATTTAGTACTCACGCAAATATCTCGTGAACGGTCTTTCTTTATTTATTTAATAATGTTCTCAAATTCAAAATATAAAACACATTAGGTATACCGTTTTGATAATATCTACTTGTAACTGGGTGATCCCCCGTAAAAAACGATCGAGAACCGGAGCCCAAACCAGACGAACCGAAGTCATAAAAATTTCTGAAAGGCTAACCGAGACCCTTAGAAAAAGATAACGAGAGCGGCTACATTGACACGAGATGACCACGACAGTCAGACAGACAGATCACTCTGTCGATAATTTCGGACACATTAGATTTTGAGTGTCTCGCTTACACGCTAAATAACTAACGTTATTTATCGAGAACAAGATTTTTGAATCGATAGATAAGATTGGGCACACCTAAATTTTTAATTTAATGCACAATGTACTTTATCTAAGCAATTAGTTATTGATATACATATATCACTAACATGTATGATTTTTGTAATGGGTTTTTAAACATACATGCAGACCGTATCGGGCCCTTAAACACTTCTCCCGAGAGATCAGGGATTCCCAAACTATTTTGGGCAAGAGACCCCTTTTCTAAAATAAACTATGAGGTATCAACCTCAGACCCCCAAAGCCAAATTACTGCACGCTTATCGACTTGTTGAGTTCTTTAAAAGTAAAACAATGGTACTTCCTACTAAAATATTAGGTAGACATTCTTATAACAAGCTGGTATACGTAACACAACTTATACAGTATCTTGAAAGTTTTAAATAAAAACGTGTGTTAATTATAGGGGTCGATTTTTAGACCAAAATCAATCAAATACATCATCATCATCAACTCTCTTTAGTAGTCTACTGGCTGGATACAGGCCTCTCCTTAGACAGGAGGTTTTGGCCCACTATACCACGTTGGCCAGACGGGTCGGTTTCGGATTTCTTTCAAGTTTTCCTTCTCTTTAGAGTGCTGTTGTCCTACGTAGTTCGGTCCCTTAGTCGGCTTTTACGACACCAACGGGATGAATAGGGGTGGCGACAGTCCGTATTCTTTATCCGTCACCACACGGATTAACATACAAAAATATATAGATAAATACAACAATATACTGATAGATTTGTGTTGAAAGAGGTCAATTTGAAACTAAAATTTGATGATAATGATGTGACGGTTTAGTCGTATGGGATGATAACTGATTGTGACCATGTACATTGAAGCCTACATGGCTCAAAAAGCTCCCTATAGTTCTTTAAGAACCGCAAGACGACTGTTAGTACGAGATACTACGGTCAGTGCCAGTGAAATGGCACACAAGTGAATAATTTATGATACGAAAAGCAAAGAAAGTGACAAATTTACAAATGGGATGTTATGTGACACCATAAACCTAGGAGATGAAAAGAAAATATTCGAGTACATGAATTTTCGTACTATCACCTGGTTTTTGTATAGAATTAAGCGATTGGAAAACCTCTTAGTTGGCCAGCTGATGTCCCTAACCCCGAGCTTATCTCATTTCCTTTCCCCAGTTGCAATTACATTCCCAAGCAAGCATAAACAAAAACACACAAAACCTGACTTTTGAAAATAATGATGACGACGCTATTAGAAAACCGTTACGTGATGTGTCAAATTTTCCCGCCTCTTTACCGAGTAAACCAAATTATACACAAAACATAAAAATATTGAAAAAAGATAACGTAACATACATGTTGTTATGTAGGTGTAACGAGTAAGTACGAGTTAATTATTATTGCTGTGTTATATATTCAGCTTCCTAATCGTCACACTTTGTATATTGGCTAATGTATACCTTCAGCAATTTGACTATTATCCATAACAATACACAATGTACAGATAACTTATTGATTTTATTGTTCACGTCTTGCGTCACACCACACTACCCAAGGACCATACACCGACTAAACGTTATCTGTTGATAACTGTTATCGGCACTGTAATGCATATCATCATGTCTAGATTTGAATCGTTATATTCGAGGGGACATTTAATGGGTTGATATCAAACTACATTGATTTGCACTTAATATTATGATAAAAATAAATGTTATAACAGCGGGGAAATTGGATTTTTGAATTTTCTTATTGGTATTTGAAAACTTCATAACTTTTTTTACTAGATTAACTTGTAATCTAATAATAATTTTCGTTTGAACAACCACCAACGTTTAACCTGTTTTCATCAACAACTTTCTTTTTATAGTACTAATTCTTGCCGTGTGGTTTTCGATTGCTCCGCCATGATATCCAAACAGAAAAAAACTTCGCCAAAAATCTGTCGAAATTTGTTAAAATCGAAGGGAACAAACCAAAAATTAGTTAAAATTATAAGGGTTTTAAATTGGCCGAAACCTCCTTTCTAAGGATAGGCCTATGTCCAGCAGTGGACTATTAACGAGTGAACGAAACGTCGAGGATTGCGCGGAAACGCAGATCTCAGCAACTACTTAAGTTAGAGATCTATTTCTTTTTGTCAATTGAAGACTAAACTTGTGTGATGTCGTGAATTTTGAAATTTTGACAATTAAAGATCGTCAATACATAACAAGACTAAAATTGAGTTTACAAACAGAAGAAAAAAGCGCATTGTTTTGTTTTTCTCTTAACCAATTCTGCAACTTAATTATTCTTCCTAATAGATACATTTTCGTCTAGTAGAGCAAAAGGTATTTCCAAATTAAATCGAACTTATGGTTACCCTATTCTACTACTAGTTTTTTTCTGTTTGGATATCGCGGCGACGCAATCGAAACGCACACATTCTTGCCCGTTATTTGTTTTTTACCTATTTAGCTTTCTTAGTCTTTTCACAAAAAAAAACGCAGAGGTATTCGGGATTATAAATATTGCTTGGTTTTTGCACTACATCGGCCTCGTTAGGATATGCCATTTACTGTAAGATGGACGCCAGAAAACACAAACTCGCTTGTTTATTACAACCGTAACCGACCGGTGATCTATAATTGATATTATTTGAAATGTGTATAGAAGACATATGTATATTACCTATAGTTTGTATTATCAGATTGATCTGATGCACCACATTGGTAGTGAGATATACCGGATAACTGGCTAAGTCCACCTAGATACTTTAATGGGCTGTAGTGGCTATCATTTCTGATAGAACACCAGGTTATACGTTAATTCCTAAGACTATCGGTCATTCATCGAAGTTGTTTTCTATGAATCCTGATACTATCTTAGACTGTGTGTACCTTGTTATATAGCTGACAATAGGTACAAGTATTTTAACACATTTGCCATTTAACTGTCATAAATTTTGTCTTATATTGTTTTTTTATATTCGAAAATGGCAAAAAAAGATTTTTACAAATTTATTTAATTTTGCCGTTGTCAACCATCTACTTCGGTCTAGTTTGTTAAGTACAATTTTGGTAATGGAAACTAGGAAACAATATTTCAACGACACATCATCGTCATCAACAGCCTTAAATAGTCCAGTGCTGGATAGCCTCTCTTTAGTAATGAGCTTTTGGTCTACTAACCTAGCCTGGCCAGACGGATTGGTATAGGGTTTGTGTTTAAGTGCTTTTTTTGCAGTGCTGGTGTCCTGCGCTGTTTTTTTTTTTGGAACGACACAAAAACAGGAAGAAAAAATAAGGAGTAAGAGGACTTTTATACAAGGACAATATCTTGAAAATGATTAGGTTTGCGATATGGTATTTCATAAGCGATAATGGTAACTACAACCCTCTAAAGTATCCAGGTCGACTGGACCGGTAGCCCCGTATATACACTCGTAGTAGCGTGCGTACCTGTGTAGACGACGGTGTAGGAGGTGTCGGTGAACTTGTCGTGCGCGGTGAAGGCGCGCAGCTTGACGAAGTAGCGCGTGCCCGGCTTGAGCGGCCCGTTGCAGTAGGCGCGCCCGCCCGCGTCGCAGCGCTCCGACCCGATCGTGAACTCCTCCACCGGCGACGAGCTGAACGGGTAGTACGGCTCCGTCACCTGCGACACCACTTATGTAATGCTATATTCTCAAACGAGGAAGTAAGATTGCTCTATAATACAGAAAATGAAAGGCCTAACTTTCGTAATTAACTATTCATTAAAAAAAATATTGTAATGTGTTCTACTGAACTAGTACCTACGCCCACTTATGCTAATCTATCATTTCAACACAATACAAGATTGCAAACTTCAGACCCATATCTATATTATCGACAGTTGCATAAATCTTCGAGTCTTTAATATTCCCGCGTATACAAAAACATCTCAAGGTATATCTTAGCGAGAATCTGATTTAACATAATGTTTAGATTCTAGTTAACAAGCAAATATACAGACTTCAGCAAAGCTTTGGACAATGCCTCACATAAAATTTTGATTAACAAATTACGCACTTATGGCACTTTTAAGTATGTGCGTGGGTAGTTCATCATGTGTGGTTGAGATCACACTTATTTAATAGAATTTTTTGTAATAAATGGTTATCTTTCTATGTTGCAACATAATTTTGCTGGTGTACCCCAAGGATCTCAATTAGGGCCAATTTTTTTAATTACTTTATAAACGACATCTACTACTACTTTCATTATTCAACCATCGTTATATATACTGATGATTTAAAAGTAGTTCGACCTACACCATGACAAGATGAAAAATGATCTTTTTAGTTTAATTAGTGAGTCTGTAGTGCATTTATAAAAGTATACATTTGCACCGTATTTGTATTCCCTTTTTTATTTTTTGTACTTGATAGATTTTTGTGTGTGTTTCATCTATAACTTATTGTTACACTGTTGTTTTTATAATTTATACTTATATAAAATACTCTCTATCCTCAGTAAATAGTAAAGCATCGCGTCCGCACCTGGTAGGGCGGCCACACGGGCAGCGCGTGCACGTCGCGCCACGAGGGCAGGCGCGCCGGCGTGTCGTTGCGCGGCTCCTCGCTCAGCACCAGCGTGTACGCCGTCACGTTGCCGTTGGCCGCCGAGAAGTAGTCGGCGCGGAAACGCACCGCCACCGTCGACGACGAGCGCCGGACCTACACACGCAGATAAATATAAAACTCATATAAGTCTTGAATTTTAAGTAGAGATATTAAGAAGAACGCTGAGGATAAATTATTTGGATGTGTGACAACTTTTTCTTGCAATCTGTGGAAATGATTTCGTGAAATTAGATGGAAGTGTGTATTAGGAAACAGGAAACGATTACGTTATTAGATTTGACCGGTGAGCGCACGAGATGCTAGAGCTACCCGTTAGATAATCGGTAAGATATAAACGTTGTACACAATTCTACAGATAATCTTAAAGCTTAAAGTATCGATAATATTAAAATTGGTATAAAAGTCGAGAGAAGAAAGAGGAAGGGGTACCTCTGCGGGCAGCGCGTGCGGGTCGGGGCGGGGCGGCGCGCCGATGGCCATGTGCTCGGTCCACAGCGCCGCGTCGCCTGCGCCCGCGCCGGTCTCGCCGCGCACGCGGAACGTGTACGTGCCGCCCGGAGCCAGCCCCGACACCGAGCCCGACCGAGCTGCACACGACACAGGAACATATATATCTTATATTATTCTTCATTTTTAACTAATATGAATGTTGTACATAAGGGGTACATCTCATTAAAAACATTTTAAATCTTCAAGATTCTAGTTTTTTTATCTTGGTGCCAAAAAATTTAGGGGCCACGTTTTCAATATAATTCGAAAGAATTGTGAAAAAAACATTCAAAATTTTAATTATCCTTTTATTGTTCGAAGACCTCAGTATTATTTCCAATAAACGATCATATAGGCCTGCTCGTTTTCGTTTTTAAGTTCCTTGATACTTTTTAAAGATACAAAACTAATCTTGAAGCTTTAAAGTACTTTTTTTTATATTTTCCACGCGACCATTTTTCACTTAGTATTAGCTCGTCAAAAAATTAGGATATCGTAAAAGCCGCAAACAACGAGTACGGTACCGTCGGGCGGGAACTCGAGCGTGGTGATCTTGTCGGGCTGGTCCTGCGGCGCGTAGTCGAGCAGGAAGCGGCGCAGCACGCCGTGCTGGTCCTGCGGGCGCAGGCGCCACACGAAGGTGAGGCGCGAGGGCGTGGCGTCCAGCGGCCGGAAGTCGGCGGGGGCGGCGGGCGGCGCCTGGCGCGTGCGGAACTCGGCCGACAGCGCGCGGGACACGGCGCGCAGCCCCTGCGCGTGGCCCGCGCGCACCAGCACCGTGAACGTGTAGCGCGCGTGCGGCCGCAGCGCGTCCACGCGCAGCCCCAGCGCCGCCGTGCTGTGCGTGCGCAGCTGCTCGGGCGAGTGCTCGGCCGCCTCCGCCTCCGTCAGGTACTGCACCTCGAAGTCCGTGAAGTCGCCGCGCGGCCGGTCCCACGCCAGCGTGATCCAGCGCGCGCCGATCTCCGTCGCGTTCAGCTGCGTGATGGGCCGCGGGTCTGCAACCGACCGGCTGACGTTCAACGATACCGTTTTATACGTTCAACGATATTGCTGTAATCTCGTCCTCGTCTTAATCGATCGAGTTTTAAATATATATTAGTTAATCGACAACACAAATAAGTGTGCATATGCAGAGGCCCCGTTACTTCCTATATTAAAAAAAGATAAAACGATTTTTTCTCAATCATGACATACAACTTGTACCTTGAAATTATACATATACGTTCAACTTTTCAGAGCCTCCTCGCTCCGAATCGCCTTCCAAAATTGTTCTTCACTCATCACACTCAAACACAAATCTTAAGCACTACATCTTCTTTCCAATTCACTTCGCTTCTTATCTCAACAATCGTCAATCTAAGAAACAGTCATTGCTGTAAGTGGATGAATGTAAGAGTGATAGTTACGCAGTCGAGCCTGGCGCTGCACGGGGTGGCTGGTGACGTTGCGCGAGACGGTCCACATGGTGACGTTGTAGAGGCGGCCCGGCACCAATTGCTCAAACACCACGGTCTGGTTAGTGGCGTTGGAGGATCGCGACACCGTACGAGGGGTCGACCCCTCCCCCTCCAGCCGGAACCGGTACGAGTCAAACTGAGACGCAGACTCCGGGGTGCGGGTGTAGATCACTTTCTGATAGACAAAATATTTTACACCATAAGGATTTTACACCATTTATTGTACACAATATGGGCTCAAACATGGGATAGTTAACTACAGGCCTGTTTCCAAATTGTGCATTATAGCTAAAATGCTAGAGAGGATTGTACACAACCAACTTTATTCAGCAATCTTAAGCGCACTTAATAATTCACAGCACGAATTTCCTTAAGGGAAAATCAAACAAATCTTGCTTTACTGAATGATTTTATCACTAAGACCACGAATGATAGCAGGCAAGTTGATGTCGTATACAGAATACAGCAAGGCATTCGATAGAATCAATCACACCATTTTAATCAAAGCTATTTAACACCAGAATTCATGGTGACTTACTCCGATGGTTCTCGCCTTATATTGAATATATAGATCACAGGCAGTAGCACTTAATAATTATAGGTCTAATTGGATATCGGTTTTTAGAGGTGTACCCCAAGGAACCTTGTTTGGTCCGCTCTTATTTGTGGTCTATGTGAACGACATTTATCAAGGCCTGCAGTCATCCAACTTAGTAAGCTTCGCAGACGACATGAAAATTTAAGCAAGTATATCGACCATTGATGACAGAAAGGTCTCTAAAGTGATCTCAATTGATTACAGCTTTAGTGATATTTAAATAAAATTGACATTATTCCTGCTAAATGCTCCATAATATTATTTACGAGGAAGCATGACGTTGTTAGTAATGTATATATTATACATTTGAAGGCAATGTAGTATTTCTCGACAGCATGCTGTTATTTGACTCACACATGACTGAATTTTAAGTGGCTATTTATATACTTAATATACGACGATGTATAATATCACTATATAGTTAGCTGTAAGTTTTCTATGTATAAAATTAATTAAATAAATAAAGTAATCTTTTTTAAATGTATCTATATAGATTTAAAAAAAATTGACATCACGATAGCCATCTATCTTGACAGTAGAAGTAGTTTACGTTTGTCTTTACAAATGAGAGTTAACTAGTAATAAATGAAATAGGTAATATTATTACAAAACATCACGGACATTCTAGCAAATTCTTTTAACCGCACAATGCTGGGAAACGTTTAATGATAATGCAAGTTGGCACGGAACAAAAAGTTTTATATCTATATACATATGATCGAAAATAGATTATCGCGCGATTATCTTGTTTTCATTCGAAACGAATTTGTATTTCTCAGAAGCGGACGGTTTTCGTAGGGATTGGAAATTGCTAGAATGATCCTTTACGAGTATTATAAATACGGACACGTCTTCGGTTAGTTCAGTTCAGTTCGAGCTACAGTGCGATAAACATCGAAGCGATTGAAGCGAATATAAGTGTAACCCGGCAACCTCGACCTCGGTAACTCACAAGTGTAGTGGAGAGGGTGTCGTTTTCGTCATCTTCACCGGTCTCGTGAACGATCGTCATTTCCGATTGGATCAGCGGACCTGCAATCATCATACATCTCGTTTAAAAATATATCACATATTTTCGATCGACAGCATATTATCCGAACCGATAAAACATATTTCTCGAACGATAAGTTTATTCTCCTCGCAACGATTCGAGTACATAACACAAACCCCGTGGCTACTCACGCGTGCGCGTCTGCATGGTGAAGAGCTCGCTGGTGAGGTTGTAGGAGTGCGCGGCGATGGTGATGACGTAGGGCGCGCCGGGCTGCAGGTCGCCGAGGAGCGCGCGCACGGAGCGCGCGGGGGCGGGCGCGCTGATGTTCTGCGAGCCGCCGCGCGCCGGCTCGTCCTCCGCCCACCAGCTCAGCGAGTACCACTCCACGCGGCCCTCGGGCACGGGCCACTCCAGCGTCAGGTTGCGCGTGTCCACCAGCGGCGCCACGTTCGACACGGGGTTAGGGCCTGGAAACCACAAGAACTAGTCACGTTTACGAGTTCGGATGAATACTGTTTCCATGGCGTAATACGAGATTTATTAAAATACGTCCCGCAGTAGTGGCCGGTCGACACCTGTCGGTGCGCTCTCACGATTTGCAGAAGCTCGGTCAATATACATATTAAACACACCTGGTGATATACAGATAAACATGAATTGATTCATACCTTATCCTCTTAAAAAATACAATCAACCAATGAGTTAAAAGTTTTGGGCAGATAAAAAAAGACCAAAATTTACTACTTTAAGTTAACCCCAGTGGGTTCAATTACTAGACTCTAGTGTTCATGAACTTCAACATTCTTTTGGCTAGGATAAGCAAACAATAGTGTACAACATGGCAGCAAATAAGGACTTCCTTCAAGCTTATAACATCCTTTAGTTAGTGGATACAACTAGAGAAGCCAATTGATCACAAAGTCATTTAGCATTTAATGCAACTATTTGTTTATGGTTTTATTTGATTATGGTTTTACAGTACTATATTATTATTATTAGGAGAATAAAAACATCAGAATAAAAGTAAATTTGTTTTTTATTATTTGCTTATCAGTTGGGTTTCAGCAAAGATTTTGGTCACCAGACTGAACGGCATAGGAACTCTTCACTTCCCCACTGAATAATTTATTTATTGATAATATAATTTAAGAGAATGCCAAAAGATGGTATCGCACTGGTGTACAGAAATAGAGGGATAGACTCACGGACAGTGTACTCGGTGGAGACGGGGCGGTCGCTCTCCACGGTCTCCCCCTCCGCGTCCTCGCTCACCGTGTCCAGGCGGATGATGTAGAACTCTCCGTGCGTCATGTTCGTTATCTACGTAACATGAAAACATAACAATATTTAGTATATAATTAATGATTTTTGCAAAATAAATCATTCATTCATTACTCAAAAGTTCACTCACTCGATCTTTCACTCATTCATTCTGTGATAAGATTCAGTCCTCGTAAACCATATTGACCAAATAAACATTATTTTCAAAAGGAATATCAGCAACACATATTCTAGTTAATCTCTTAGTAAGTTATGCTAAGCTAAACACTCGTGTTATAAGAAGAGGCACGACAACAGTATTCAGGAGGTTTGAATCTGTAACGTTGGGAACGGCCCGCACTGACCTCGGCGGTGGAGGCCCTGGGCGCGAGCAGGTCGAGCGCGCGCCAGCGGGGCTCCCCGCGCGTGCGGTAGCGCAGCGCGTAGCCGCCCAGCGCGCTGGCCGAGGCCGGGGGCCCGCTCCACGTCACGTTCACGCTGTTGGACGTGGCGTGCGACACGCGCACCTGCAGCGGGGGCAGCGGACCTGCGCCACGGACGCGCATACGTTTTGTTTAAACAGGAAGTTCAATTCGATTAAATTAAATTTGTAACATTTGTATGTAACACGATGGCTTAAAATGTATTCAAAGTTCTTAGCAGTTGGAAAAGAAATCTGAAGTATATAGTGTTCTTTTGGCCGTATTTCTAAATAACGTTATAGATTTTGTCATCAATAATATGCTTAGTTAAAATTGTCTGTAAGCCGATACGTCATTGCAACTTAAGATTAATTGTTATTATTTGTGGTCCTACACACCAAATCTTTGGTAAGAGTTCGTTTTGAGGGCAATACTAAACACGTGTCAATTCACATATGTGTCACAATTAGAGGATTCGATCCCGGTCAATTTTTATAATCCCGGGATTTCGGGATTATCTACAGTTAATCTCAGGATCCCGGGATAGTCCCGGGATTGTATTGGCAATGGAAAGTGGTAACAAAAAGACAGTAAAACATATCAAAATATTTTTTTTGTTTATAGTTTATAGTTTTGTGAGGACATGGAATATTTAAGTTTTAAATCTCCAAAAAAGCGGTTAACCAAAATTATACTTTCTTCTTATAAAATAAACAAACTAGTGCTCAGTTTGTTTTGTGTTGCGGTAAATAATTTATGAAACTAACAATAAACTTCAAAAAATCAAATTCTTTAGACTTATTTAGATAAACTATAAAAAGAAAACTATATGCTTAAGAGACCAATGTTTATAGATACTATACGATACTACTCATATTTTTTGAATTAAATTGCCCAGAAACTTTATAAATTACACACTTTTACGCATAATCCAGAACCGGTCATTAGCAAAAACAAATGAAATCAGCTGTGTAGACAAGATGGCTGTCAAAACATCAAATCAAGACAAGTGCGTTTCTTACGCACATTTTTATTGACTTATGTAAAAAATGTATCAATCCTGAAAATCCCGGGATTCATTAAATTTGATCCCGGAAATTTCGGGACTAAAATATGACCGGGATCCCGGGATCGAATCCTCTAGTCACAATACTTAATGTTGCAATTATAATGTAATTTAAGCGCATAAACAAAGAAAACCTTAATAGTTCTAGAATCTATGGTTGCGTATGCGTGTAATCTAGAATCTATTGGTGTATGTGTCAAAATCTGATGGTCACTGTAAGCAGGGATAGTGCAGTGAGACTCACGGACGGGCTTGAGCAGCGTGTGCGAGTCACTGTGCAGGTTGTAGCTGATGGCGGCCAGCTCGATCTCGTACACGGCGCCCGGGAACAGGTCGCGTAGCGTCGCGCTCGTGTCGTTCGTCTCCAGCTGCGGACACGCACGCACTACTTAGTACCACAACCTCGCTCAAATTTTAATGGAAATAAAAACAAAGACCTAACCGAGTTTGAGCTGTAAGGACGTTGTAACGCCAGACAGCTAAAAGAATACAGAATAATGGGAGGGAACGTAAACGTATGCGCAGTGCGAATACCTTGCGGTAGGGCTCGGGCGGGCGGCGGCGGCGGTAGCGCAGCTCGTAGCTGTCCTGGCGCGAGTTGACGTCGGAGCGCCAGGCCAGGCGCAGCTCGGCGTCGCCGGGCGCGGCCGACTCCACGACGGGCGCCAGCGGCCGCGTGGGCACGCTGAACACGCTCTCGTTCGACTCCACGCCGCGCGACACGGCGCTCACCTGCGTGCACGCAACGGCCCGATCACAATGCAATATACACAAATGCAATATATTACATTGTACATATATTCAATTATCTATACGCATCAAATTATCGCAGACTTTTTTGCACTTGGTGCTTTTTATTTTGCAAGAAAATCCTAAGAATTTTTTTGGAAAATAGGGGTAAAATAAGAAATGGAAACGGTCGTATCGAAGTTCCACATTTTCAAAGTTAGAAACAACGAGACGCCGCTTACTAATACGCTGAGTGTTGTGGGTTCGAACCCCACACGGGACTTGTGTGATCCACAAATTGTTGTTCTGAATCTGGGTGTACTTTGTGTCCGTTTCTTGTATGTTGGTAAAGTCCCCCGCGACACAGGATTTATTTCTAGTGCGGGAGTTGTCTTTTTGAAGAAAAGGAAGTAATCACAATAAGCCTTTAACAATAGCTTATATTAGTACGCTTGAAACTCCTTCTAAGGGGTTGTTAAAACAAATCCAACACTAAGAATGTTTTCTGAGTAAAAATGGAATTTATAACATATAAACGATGTAAATATACACAAAAACTCCCAGACTCGGGATAACACTTATGAATCACACAATTTTGTTTCATCTGGAAAAAGAACACACAACTGTTTACCCTGTATTCTATTATATCCACATTTAGCTTATTACATTAATAATAGATTTAATAGTATATAATACCGCGTACTATCCTCGAATATTATGAAATCATAATATATAACTAACAAAATGAGCATAACATTGTTTGTCACATTCAATTCGTTTTGTATTTAGTAATCAATAACTTTATAACAGTAGGTATTAAAAACAGTACATTCTGAAATGTTTTACCCATATAGAATTAGTATTTTTACTTCAAAGAGTATTGTTGAGTGCAATTACAACATTTATAGTTTTATTCACGTCAAATTTGTTTCATACAATATATTAGCTTTACTGCTGTGTGTGGGTCCGATCCCCACACAGGACTACACTTTGTGTGATCCACAAATTGTTATTCTGAGTCTGGGTGTTCTTTGTGCCAGTTTCTTGTATGTTTGTAAAGTTCCCCGCCACACAAGATATACTATTTGACACTTTTTTTTTATTTTATTTCACGGGATATTCCTAATGCGGGAGTTGTCTTTTTAGGAAGAAGAAATAAAGACTCACATAGGCTAATAGAAGCAAAGGAACGAGGAGCTCAGGCTCTTGATAATCCCAAAACCTAGCTGAAGTCTCCGTCGAAGTGCTTACGAATGGTATAAGAGTCGACAGGGACAGTGGTGGAGGCGCCAGGCTCGTGGAGAGCGTCGCCACTCCCACGCCCAGCTCCTCCATTGGCGCTCACAACTACGTACTCGACAACAACACGCGACTGCACTCCCCGCACAACTACTAACTGACAAGGAAACTACTAGAGGAAATAGGTGATGTATCCCGTATCGCGTCTCTCCCTCTACGGGCCCAAAATGAATAATCCACGACCGCTATGTTTATCGAATTCCAAGCAATTTAAAAAAAACTCGAGAATTGTTAAAAAAATAACTTGAATACTATTTTCTTTCAATTTAAGTATACATCATTTAGATAATTTTAGATAATAATGTGTTGTTATAGTTACTGTAGTGTATACTACGTTAATCATAGATGTCGCCACCGGGCCATAATTCAGTTGTAGCAAACAGTGGCACTGTGATGTGTGAGGGCCCGCGGGAGTGCCAGTGGGGACAGTGGTGCGGCAGCAGGCAAGTGCAGTGGGTACTCACAGTGACGGTGTAGTTCCTGCCGGGCAGCAGGCTCCGCAGCGGCACGCTCGTGTCGCTCACGGTGAGCGTGCTGCTGTCGTCACGCGACGGGCCCGACTCGTGGTAAGACACCTGACACACAAACACACACACGTTTCGTTTAAATATACAAACAAAAATACATATATTGTCCGCTAGCATTTTCTATATACTCCGGTGATTGACTTTACATAGATACAATCTGTACCTTGTATTCATCCTGTATGCTTCCCTCTGAAGGAGTCCACCACACGATGACCCCGCCCTCCGGCCCGTCCGCGTAGCGCCAGTCGAGACCCTTCACCGGCAGAGGCTCTTTAAATAAAGAAATCGGTTATATACAAAAAGGATGAAAACCGTCGCTAATTATAGCGATAGGTGTCACTAGTACGGTATGGTGAATTGCTTACTGAGCGTGAGATCGGTGGCGGCGGGCCACGAGGTGACCTTGCCCGACATGGTCTTGACGGTGACGGTGTAGGGCGCGCCGGGCTCCAGCCCGTCGAAGGAGGTGGCGGGCGTGTCGTTGCGCGCGCGCACCACCGGCGTGCGCCGCCCGCCGCCCGCGCCGCTCGCGCTCGACACCGTCACTTGGTACTTCTCGAACTCGCTGCGACACCGATCGGACACGTTAGTTAAGTACTTAAGTACTTTATATACTACAGTTTAAGTTCATGCTGGCTTACCTCTCCTCGAGGGGCGGTAGCCAGGTTACTTTAAATGAGGTCTCCTTCAAGTCGGCGAGCGGCACGGTCACGTTTCGAGGTCGCAGCGGTACGGTCCGGTACTGGGCGGTGGTGGGCGCGGAGATCTCGGGCTCCGACACTGTCTGTACGCTAATGTTGTAAGCTCGCCCTGGCACCAGCCCCTTGAACGCCGCTTGCGCCGGCCCGGGCGGTTCGCCCTCCTTTTCGACGTATAACTCGGAATCGCGGGCATCGGGCGGTACTATTGATACCTGCAACGGCGATTTCATTTGGTTATATCATGCACTACATACAGTTAAGCTATCGATTGAAACTCTTCCTTTAAAGATCTTTTTAGGTACAAGTTTTCACAGTTTAACGACTTAATATATACATATCTTTGTATAGACTAAGTGAGCGTTAGGCAAATTTTACTTCATTTTAGTGGCAATTTTTAAGAATTAAACATTTCTTAATATAATACAATATATTGAAGCAGAGCACACATTGAGATATTCCCTCACCTTGTAGTGCGTGTAAGCGCCGGGTGGATATGGTGGCTGCCACAGCACCAGCAGCGTCGTCTCGTTGCGGAACCAAACGATGAACTTGCCGGGCGTGTTGGGCTCTGAGACAAGCGACGCCACATCACGACACAATACGACACAACCATACACCAATAACATATATATATATATATATATGTATCTACATGAGCGCTGTGGACTGACGACCTACTTGACTTAGCGAGAAAACAAAAAGTATCATCGATATGGAGTCAAGACTAATAATAATTTACTTATGACTACTGTCGTTTTGAAGTGCCTCGTGTAATGTAGAGTGAAATAAAAAGGCAATCAATTACGAAATCAAATTCAGTTAAAGTAAATAAGGTAACTGCCTGCTATAAAACGAACTCAAATACAACTGGCATGCTGTATTTAAAAACTATAATAGTAAGCATAAACATATTCGGGACGATGCAGGAGTTCTAACGATACCCAATACAACTAAATCCGTTGTGGCATTTAGCAGTTATAGGCGAATAAACTTACATTTACACAAATATAAAAACAACAAAAATAACTTCTTTTTCAACATTCCTGTAAAAACTGACGTACGATCGGTAAACGGTATTTACTTTGGTTTTTGTAAATGAATTTAGATCGTCTGTCCACGAGCGCAGTAATAAATGATATCACAAAATATTAAACAATAAAAATATTAAATATTATATATGTCAACCATATTATATTAAAAGCTAATTACAGTTGGCTTGAGTTTTGTTTCGTTACTCTTTGTCTCGCTAAAACCGTTGTAATAAAATACTGTTATAGTTAATTACGCTATTATACATACATACATAATCGTAATCCAATGAAAAAATATCTCATATTCATAGTCTCATATTTATAGATTATACATTAGGGAAGTTACATATATTTTTTGATAACATGTGTTCCCCACGCTCGGATCACAATAAAACAATAAAGATGAACAAAAACTGCGACGAGCATTCACAGAAACATATTTGAACTCAGCATAAGTCGTGCGTGAAAATACTACATAATTGTCATGTTTACATTATACCAGCGACGTGAACGTTGACAAAAACTAGACAATAAAACTATAACAAAAAAATCATCTACAAAAAGTTTGTTCGAAATGAAATGTATGGCAAGTATCGCGAATATTCTCAGTGTTTTTTTTTACACTAGAATATTCTTAAATATCTCAAACTACATAACAAACATAATTCTTCTGTTTCGTCCTAAGAAAATAATAAATTGGAACTATCCTTTCTTATCTTATCTTATATCTTATTTTTTGTCCGTCTGTCTATTCGTTCCGGTAATCTTCTAAACGCCTGGACCGATTTTGATAATATTTTACTACCAGTACCTATTTTTCCTCTCAGAAAAACCCTTTAAAATTTTACGCGGTCCGGGAATCGAACCCACTGAAGCAGCGCTTTTCAAATTCCAGGCGAACGAAGTCGCGGGTACCAACTAATTAGATATAAATTCTCCTACTTTCCTGTTATGATTTTTTGTCGGATTTTACAAAATTCTACATCTTCTGTCTGTCTTCTACAAAGAAAAATTTCACTAAACTGGGAAAAAAAATATATGATTCTAAACCAGCTATTAAACTCTAAGGTCTGAAACTATTGATACTACTGGTATAATCTAAACCTTAACAGCATTGTTGTATCCATTTATAATTCATTAAAGGATTATTATATTTAAGATATAAAACAATTTACATATTAAATACATAGTAACTTCGAGGCACATTCTCGCAACAGCAGCCGTAGCTATGCTAAATATGTGTAGTGTACACCAATCCATGCGTAAACAGAAGTAAAGCATGCGACATACCTAGCAGCTCTCACCACACCACGTATTAGAACATACATTATTTTGGTTCTCAATAACAATACAGTTTGATTGTTGACCATTAGAAATATTTAAAGACTATTTTATCCAGTGCCAGCTACGAAGGAACAAGTCTGCAGGGCAAGGGCACTGAATACGAAATCCATCTGCGCTTGACTGAAATTAACATAATCTAAATTAATGTAATGGGTGAGGCCTATGTCCAGCAGTGGACTGCGATAGGCTGATGATGATGATGAAATTAAAATAGATTTTTTTATAATCAAAATTAATAAAACCGTTGGGATAGACATTATTCTAGATACTAAAAAACGAAGTTTTTGTGTATTTTGTGAATATTATCAGTTTTATGTCATTTCACATACTTCTAATTAAAAAAAAGTAGGTTTTCCATAGGTTTTTCATTTACCCTCCAGTGAAAAAATATTGTAAAGAAATCAGTCGGAAACTTTTTTGGGTAAGCCACAGGAACTTTTAGACTAGTGACCGGTAATGATATCACAGGCATTAGTAAAGTAGTTATAATAAAATACCAGCACCTTAGTACTTTCATAAAACGATAACGGGATAGAATTCTACTACAATACCCCCTCTACCTAGAGAGGATGTTTAACTCAGAACTTCAGTATCTAGGTCTCAACAAATTTAAATAAACTTTTTTACTATAATTCTGGCTATCACCATCAACTGTTGGACGTCTGCGACCTAGTCATCGACCTCAGTCATTGATTTCTAATAAGGCCATTTGGAAGCGTGGCTATAATCCCATCACAGTCAATTATAGAACTGCAAATCTGTAGAATACACATTAGTATATTTATACATGTGATTGAACTAGATCAGCTGTGCGCACATCTGTTCATCGCAGTGATATTTCTTCAGCTGTGACGTCACAGCCTACTTCTATTTGTACCGTGTGAATGAATCGCTCCGTGTACTATCGGCCAACGATCCACGTTTACAGAACACTGTGTCATAAACATGTGAACTAATTTACCAAGCGATGTGGACATTGTAGGCACTAAATTACCATTAGAAAACATAAGCGGTCTTTCGTACATATATTCCACTTAAATAATAATATAATAATAATATAATATAATATATCTCACACACTCACACACGGCCGTCTGATCCCAAACTAGGCAGAGCCTGTACTATGGTAACCAGACCGCTGATAAACATACTTATATATTTCTAAATACATACATATTATAGATAAATTACACCCAGACACAGAACAAATGACCGTGCTCATCACACAATATTTGTCCTGGGTGGGGATCGAACCCACGACCTCCGGTTTAGCAGTCAGGGTCACTAACCACCAGACCAACAGGCCCGTCAAATGTAAATACTAACGTTCATAAATCCCCATAGGGTTAGGCAAAGGGTTGTTATACGCACACAGATAACTATAATTTTAGTCCCACTTATTTAATAGGAAGCCAGACTACTAGCCACTTATTTAAGAGAAATCAGTGTCTTTTTATTAAACGTCTAAACGATAGACGATTTTTGTATGAAAGAAGCTATTTAATGTTGATTTGAAGATTAAAATAAAACATTAAATATATAATGCAAGACAATTCAGGCTGTACTTTGAGATACTACTACATTTGATGATCCAGGCGCAATAATTTATTTTAAAACTAGAAATCGAACCTATTGCATACAACCGGGCACGGATAAAATATGTAGTACTTGCTATTTCCAGCGGTTTTGCTCGCGTGATTTTTATTTCTTACTCCGTGTTTCATACCTTCATCCCTTAGGGTGAAAATTCCCTTGAAATTTCTAAGCATCCTTTCTTAGTCGGTGCTTACAACATAAAAATTATCAGCTGTTACATATTTGTAGACCCAGCAGTTTGGGCACCAGTCGTTCAGGGCAAGTAATTGTTTATCTATAGATAATGAAAGAAAATGCAGATAAGCAGGAATAGCAGTAGTAAGAAAAGGGATTTTGTTTATAGGATAGAGTGGTGAATGGAAGCAATAGCTCGAGTGGGTCAGGGTTGCTTTCCTGTTGCTCTTGGCTACTCATGGAAACTCAGAGCAATCTAACGGAAAACTTAAATACAGTGAGCAGGAAAACTTGAGTGTATAATTATTACAGTCTTGTATGAATGCTCTTTTGACCATTATTATAGTTTTTATCTGTTTTACCATGTAATTATAATTAAAAGGTGATCTATCTTCTGTTGATATGAGGAAATGAGCTTTTGTGGCGTGATTCGTTTGCTTGATAATTACAATATTATAATTTTTAAAGCATATCACGTAATACAACAAGATAATATCTTTTAAGACAGTTTTTTGTTTCATTTCCTGTGCTGTGTGATTATGAATCTGTGGGCATATGTTTTATTAATAAGATTTTTGTTGTGGGCATTATTTATATTAATAACGAACGCGTGAATCATCAAGCCAAAGGAAGTGTGCATACTATACATTTTGTTACAAATTGCTGCAGTGCAGTGCGTTGCGTTCATAGGTTTCCTGTCTTTATTAACTCGAATTTATCACGTGCCGAACGCGTGGCTATATGTATAACAAAAGTAACCAATTATACAATATTTCGCAAAAGGGTTGCGGCAGACAATTGAACAGAACCGCGATCAGAGAACGGCTGTTGCAGCTGTTCCCGGATCCCTCCTATCAGGCGTATAGTGGCATACCGTGTATTTCAACAAACCGTCCGCTCACAAATCCCGGTAGGGTGATAACCCAAAGGGGTTTCCACACGTGAATTTATATGAAAAAAAACAGCTGAAGAGCGGGACAGCAGCGCGGCCTAGTCAGGTTGTAGTTAAGAACTGGTCATATAGTTTAAAAGGGTATAATAATTACTTGACACAACTCACTCATTTAGAACAAATGATCGTGGCACATTTATTTCTCCTGAGTGTGAATCGAACCCATGACTTCTTCTGGAGCACACTAGACTAACAGGGAAACGTAGGTAAATTGGGAAGAAATCAGGCGATTCTTTATCAAGAAGCCAAACGACTTGAGCATCGTATCTAGTCGGGCTTCCCCAGAAACCAAGTTTTCAGAACTAGATATATATTTACATTTATATCTATACTAACTACATTTAATTATATTATCCTTCATACAAATTATTGTTTTACTGCAAAGAGTTTCTTGCAAATTAACGGGGGAAAAATAGGGGTTTTCCGTTAAAGGTAATTTATCATTTTTCTTAAATAAATAAAATGAAGAAA